TGCAGTCGTTAAATCAATGTGTCCAATCATTGATCCAATAATTACAATTAATTTGGTGCACAAATTTAGTCCATATAAAATTATCTGGAAAAGTTGTCCACTATATTTTTTCAAAAATAATTTCCTAACACGATTTTTGTATGTGCTTTTTGCTTTTTTATCCTAAAGATTTCAAGATTTTTACTTTATATCTTCAAATATTAAATTTTTTATATTGCACCTTCAATATATTAAAAATATTACAATATAGCCCTTCTATCAAACTTAAGTTATTTTTTCTTTAAAGATTAACTTATTGACACTGATGAAAAACCTAATAAAAAGTTAATAGAATGGTCACATTGTAATATTTTTGATACATTAAAGGTACAATATGAAAATTTAATTTTTGAAGATATAAAGTGAAAATCTTAAAACCTTTTAGATGCAAATTGCAATTCGCCCTTCTTTTATTTCTGCATGGAACAAGAAATTGCATGTAACTATGCGGAAAAAAGGAAAATCATAAAATAATTAAATATGTTTTTTTGTCCCTGAATTGTTTGTAAAATGTCACATTAACCCTTCAGTTATTAATTTTTGTGAATTACGGCTCAAAAATTTTTAATTTAAGAGTAAATAATCGGGCCGAGTCAATGAAATAAGCTTTTTACATTGAATGTATCTTTTTGACTCATCCACAATCAAATTTGTCAATTTTACGAATTGATAATTAGGAAATCATTTGTGACATTTAATGAATACTTTAGACCATGGATATATTTAATCAAATGTCACGCCGTCATAATTGAAAATATTTAAACTACATTGAAAAACTTGCCAATGTATTGACAAAATTGCTAATCAAGGGATGAAAAAAAATATTTAATGCATATTTTAAAGAACTGAAAAAGTATTCAATATGTATTTTTTTTTCTTTTTGATCAGAATTCATTATTTAGTTGAAGTAACGAGTCTCCCAACATCACGAACATTAGCACTCAGTTGTAAGCACGTAATTAAGGATAACATTAAGTTATCCAAAAGAAAAAAGTACCCATTCCAAAGTGATCGAGATTATGAAATATTGTGACCGATTATGAATTACTTGGATCAATTATAACTTCTTCTTTTTTTGTGTGTGAGTTGTAACTTTATCTTTAAAGTTGTGTAATTTTCATGATTGATGATATTATTTTGAGAGCGATCATGTTTTTTTAGTTATAACTTTCACTGCAAGAAATTATAATTTATCTTTTTTAAAAAAAATAGAAAATAATTTTGATATAATACCTCTTTTAATACCATAATTGTCCTATGTAATTGATGAAATTAATGATTGACATTCTTAAAAAATATTCAAAATAATTTATCGTGTTGGTTGATAGTTATGCATATCAATGGGGAGGGAGAGAGAGAGAGAGGCCAAATTATTGGCGCGTGGGAAGATGATGTCATCAGAAAAGCTGAGAGATATTCCCCTATTCTTAATTTATCTAACATTACACCTAAATCCCAGAAATTTAAATTATATATATTTAAAATTACAACAAGGATTGAACGTACTTTATTTTTTATTTAATTTTATTTAACGATACAAATTAATTTTTTTTAAAAAAAGCTTCACTCAAAAATATCTTTTTACACAAAAGTTAATATCAGACAATTCAAGCAATACACTCTCCAATTGCCACAAAAAGCAAATTGTTTAAATTAAAAGTTCGAGAAATTGATTATAGCATGACCAAATACTTAGAGTGGGTATTTTTGTAATTAACCGATGTAAAAAGTAAGAACATGGTTCTCGGAGAAAGAAAAGAGAGAATTACACATGAGATTTGTTATATAATCATTCAGATCTTCTTACGTTTGAAATATTACATATAAATCCCTTAAAGTTTGTACGCGTGTGATAGACTCATGCCATCAATGTCCATTAGTGTATCCCTTAATAAATTACATTCAGATCTCTTAAAATTTATAATCGTGTAATACTTAAATCTCTTAAGTTTAAAATGTTATACTTAGACTAAAAATACTTCAATCAAAAATAAAATATTAAATATTTTAAATTTTACAACCAAAATTCATGTTCTATTTTGATATTTATTGAAATAAAATTAAAAACAAAATTATTGTTTTTTTCTTAAAAAATCACAACTAGTGTACAATTATAGTATCTATTATAATTTAACTTGGTTGTTTAAACTATGAAATTAAATTACAAAATTACCCAAATTAAAGTTATAGTATATTGTGTCATTATAGTTTGACCCATTGTTTTTTTTATTTCAATAAATAGTATAATTGTATCCTATTTTTTTAAGAAAAATTAAATTTTTATTTTTGATTTTATTTTCATAAATAATGTAATAGAATATGAATTTTGGTTGTAAAATTCATATTCTATTATGAATGACTTAGACCTCTTGTTTGATTTTTTTAATTTTATAACAATAAATAATATAATTGTGTACTAATTATGATTTTTTATAAAAAAATTGATTTTTTTATTTTATTTTAATAAATTATACAATAGAACATGAATTTTGATTTTAAAATTAAAATATTTAATATCTTATCTTTGATTAAAATATTTTTAATTTTAATATAACATTTTAAACTTGAAGATTCTAAATATTATATACTTACAAATTTTAAAGGGTGTGGATGTAATTTACTAACATATTTAAATTTTAAAGGGTGTGGATGTAATTTACTAACATATTTAATAACGGACATTAATCGCAGTGATTTAAGTGTTACGTGGATATAAATTTAAGAAGATTTATATATCTGAAGAGAGAGAGAGGGAGACGTTTGGTTGTGCATAAAAAGTCTTGGTTGAATTCGCACACTCGGTCACTCTTAATAAGTTTTATGACTTGGTGTAGATTAGAAGTACAGCTTTGGCCATGGCAGCTCGCAGACTCTCCTCCTTGCTCTCTCGTTCTCTCTCTCTTCCTCCTGTTTATGCTTCCCTTGGTGACCACTCTCTTCTGGTTCTCTCTCTATACGTAGATTGATGTGTGTTATTCTGTTATATATGTATATACTTGTGTTGCATATCCTTTTTGGTTTGTTGGTGTTGTCTGGTTGACCTGTTGTGCCTTCTTTATACATGAATGCTGTATGCATATAGGACTTTACTGGCTTTAATTTGTCTGGTTTGTGTTTGTTTTTTTATCCTGGAGGGGTGGGGAGTGTTGGGAAACAAAGTTTGCCTCATTATTTCAATTTCTGTTTTAATTTAACGTTTCTAATCGTTTAACTAATCTGAGTGTTTTGTTTGTTATGCAACTCAAATCCAAAATAATGTAATTAATAATCCTGCAGTAGAGAAGAAAATTTAGGAGGATGTCATTTCTGAAGACTTCAATTAATAATATGAATTGATCTGTGTGTGTGTGTGTGTGAAGTGGGGGAGGGTTGTACATGGTGTGTGATATAGATCATGGAATCTGATTTTGTGAAACATAAATTCTTCAGGCATAAATTCTAGCTTGAGGAGAGGCACCTGCAGGTTTAGCACTGCTGCAGTCACAGAGGAACCAGTCACCCCACCTGTTCAGGTCAATTATACCCAGCTTCTGATCGATGGCAAATTTGTGGATTCAGCATCTGGTAGTGCTTTGTTCGGACATTGCATTGCATTGTCCAATTGATTACGCTGTTACTGCATAAGGTAAATTAGTGCATATCTAAATTTGAATTGATGTTGGAATTTATGTTGGTGCGCGGGATAATTCCTGCAATGCGATCCCTTGATTGGCAAGCCTGAAAAGACGGGGTTAGAAGAAAGGGGGCCAGGCGTGAGCCCGGCGGATCCCCTCCGAAGCTTAAGTCAGTAAAGATCGAAGAGTTTTTTCTTAGTAGATGTGCTCTGGTTTGATTTTGCGTACTTTTATCCATTTTTCTTAGGGATATTTATACCTGAATTAGCAATGATTGCTCTAGATCTTCAGTCTCATCTGGACATCTCACATCTGACACCATCCCTCGTGCTGTGAATGCTTCCCTTTTACGCCTCCTCCAATTGAATGTCAGGGGAATGGTGTAAGTGCTCGGCCACAAGCCGAGCATTTATACTACGAGTCGAGCAGCCCAATCCAAGAGGTTGGCGTCTGACACCGACAGAGCACGGACAGCTCAGCGGATCAGGGAACTCAGGAGAACAAATCGCGTTGTTTCGGCGCATCAGTCATTAATACTCCAGCCATCATGACAGTAGGCATAGACTTGCAGATAGCAATTGGCGGCAGGCTCGGATTTATTTGTCCTGTCACTATCACTCATTTCGCCATAAATACGAGGTCACGTCGCTTTGATTATAATGTCAGCTGTTGTACTCAGCTGCTCTGTCGCCATGCCTCGGCTCACCCCCTCGGCATCTTCCAGACATCCTAATGACTTTATTAGGACACGTGTCACCCTGGGGGTTGAGGATCCATACAGGAGGCCCGCCAGTTGGTTTCAGAAAAAACATTTCCAACGTTGGACCCTCGGACTGGGGAGGTGATTGCCCATGTTGCTGAAGGTGATGCAGAGGATATCAATTGTGCGGTGTCTGCTGCCCGGAAGGCGTTTGATGAGGGACCGTGGCTGAAAATGACCGCTTATGTAAGAATGTTTTCCCTTTATTTTCTGCTTGTATGCTTATGACTTGCTGCTGCATTAATTTGTGAATGGTTTCCTTGTTCAAAATCATTATATATCAGTGCTGCCTTGTTTCTCTATTGGGTTTCAGGAAAGGTCACGGATAATTTTGCGATTTGCTGATTTGCTTGAGAAACACATTGATGAGATTGCAGCTCTTGAGACATGGGATAATGGAAAGCCTTATGAACAAGCTGCCAAAATCAAATTGCCTATAATTGTGCGTATATTTCACTATTATGCTGGTAAGAGCACTAAAAATAATCGAGTCTCATATGTTCCTGAAATTTGATTCTTAAAATCATCAGTAGCAGTATAGTTGTACACTATTTGGATGAATTTTTTAAAGAATGTTCTTTCATGTAATGCAGGTTGGGCAGATAAATTACATGGATTGACAGTTCCTGCTGATGGACCATACCATGTGCAGACTTTGCATGAACCAATTGGTGTAGCAGGACAGATCATTCCATGGAACTTTCCTCTCGCTATGTTTGCTTGGAAAGTTGGCCCTGCACTTGCATGTGGCAATACTGTTGTCCTAAAGAGTGCAGAGCAAACGCCCTTGACTGCTCTGTATGCAGCAAAGCTCTTCCATGAGGTAATTTCGAGCAGTTGTGTTCATTGTTTGGTGTTATATGTCATCTCATTATTTTGTTGGTATTATTGTTTTGGCTTGTATTTTGTTCAAGGTGAATTTGAGAATCTTTGGGCTCCAGCACCTATTTTTATACCAAATAGGGTTCTACTTAAATTTGAAGTAAATGTATTTTTTGAAAGAAAGCAATAAAACAGAGAAAGGCTAATATGTGAGTAATTGCATGGCTGTACTTGAAACATGCCACAAGTATACGACTGTTTTCGCAAATTTTATGCTTTCTTGATAACTTCTTCTGTCTTTTTTGATGTGAAAGATATTTAGATGATATGTCTTTTTCTTTCTCTAAGCTATCATTTTCCCATCTAACCTGCATTCTTTTTGATAGGCCGGTCTTCCTCCTGGTGTTCTAAATATAGTTTCTGGCTATGGTCCAACTGCTGGTGCGGCTCTTGCTAGTCATATGGATGTGGACAAGGTCCTTAGCATAAATTTTCCAAGCTTTCTATAAATTTTGTGATGTGATGAACTTGACTGTGTTATCGGTGCATCTCTTTAATCATGACTTGCATGGCTCAGGAGACATTTCTTCTACTATGGTAGAGGAAAATAATCACAATACAATCAGTAGGAAATTTAGAATATAATCCAAGTTTTTTGCCTTCTCGTGTACTAGGCTGCCTTTTTTAATCAAAGTGTTTCACCTTTTCATATTTTTAGTTTTGAAGTGCCATTTTATGGTGTTTTTGACTGGCTGGTGGTGTAAACAGACAAATTTGGATCAGATTCAATAATCTGTTTGTCTTAATGAGAGTAAGAAACGAGACCCTCAATGATCCCAAATTGTTTTTCGGAAAGTCTCAAACAAACTGGCACTCAGAAGATGTGGTCCTTCACAAATCTAACTATTGGGCCAAACTTGGCTGTTTATTATGATTTTCGACATTAAAGCCATTGCCATTCTTTTTGCAGCTTGCTTTCACAGGATCAACTGATACAGGCAACATTGTACTCGAATTGGCGGCAAGAAGCAATCTCAAGCCTGTGACATTAGAGCTTGGAGGGAAGTCACCTTTCATTGTATGCGAGGATGCTGACATTGGTACGGCTGTGGAACTTGCACATTTTGCTCTTTTCTTTAATCAGGTTTGTTCACTCAATTTCTCACGCAAATCTTCTTTTCTATGTTGAACACTTCAATGACAAATGCTTCACTATCTGCAGGGGCAATGTTGCTGTGCTGGTTCTCGTACATACATACAAGAACGTGTGTACAATGAGTTTATTGAGAAAGCAAAGGCACGTGCTATGAAACGTATAGTGGGTGATCCCTTCAAAAAGGTGTGGAGCAAGGCCCTCAAGTGAGATCTCTCTCTTTTCCCCACCTTCCCCGCCCCTCAATACTTAAAATATATCCGAGGCACAAAAAGAACTAGATTGGCATGAAGTATGTCCATTGGAACAGTTCTGTGATTGATTCATTGTTGCTGTTCTCAGCACATTAAATGGGACCTCTAGAACAATGATATAGTTGTACAATACATATATTGTTCCTTTATGTCCGTCAACTCCATTACAATTCTGTAGGATACTGAGCCGTGACTCTGTCTCTTTGCTTAATTGAAAACCACCATATAAAGAAGCATACTCGTCATTATTGCGCACCCGTTGTTCACAAGATGCAACCTTCCTATAGAGTGGCTTCACACGTATTATAAGTCAAATTAAGCTGTTGAGCTGCATGTCCAATAAAATCTGAGTTTTCGGGATAATCCATTTCCTGAACTAGCAGTGAACTTTTGCTTTTCATTGATTCCAATATAACTCAAACTCTGGCCAATCTTGAGAGCTCGACTAATGTTACTTGTGAATCTTATGGAAATTCCAGATAGATTCAGAGCAATTTGAGAAGGTTCTCAGTTACGTAAGATCTGGGATTGAAAGCAATGCTACTCTTGAATGTGGAGGTGGACAACTAGGGCTCCAAAGGCTTCTTTATCCAACCCTCATTTTTCTCAAATGTTCAGGTATTTTTCTCTTCCATTTCTCGGTCCCCTTCAGCAAATATTACCCTTCGATGAATCATAAAGACATTGCAAATGGAGCAAGTAACATGATTGTAGCATGTTCTCCAATAGGATGATATGTTATAGCAAAGGATGAAATCTTTGGCCCAGTGCAGTCCATCTTGAAATTCAAGTGAGCAATCAATATTCAAGCATATCCAATTGGTAAAAATTTCTGGGAATTATATCATTTTCGTGTGTTTGTTGACCTCTGGAATATTGCATAACTATAAGTGCTTCAGTTTCGATTTTGTTGTCATTAGACTACAACATGGGCATGAGAGGGGGCAATAGATTTTCTGCAATGCCTGTTTAATTTGCAAAACACACTGAGAGGAAAATATAGGAATGTTTTTCAAGTGTTCGTAAATATCCACATACTTGTTTCTCCATATCAGGGACATTGATGAAGTGATAAAAAGGGCAAACACAACACGCTACGGTCTAGCAGCAGGGGTTTTCACCAGCAACTTGGATACTGGCAATACCTTGACACGAGCACTAAAGCCGGGACTGTGTGGGTTAATTGCTTCGATGTATTCGATGCTGCAATTCCATTTGGTGGGTACAAAATGAGTGGTATTGGCAGGGAAAAGGGTATCTACAGCCCTCCATAACTACTTGCAGGTGAAAGCTGTTGTTTACTCCTTTGAAGGAACCAGCATGGCTATATCTTCTGCTTGTTCCACTTCTATGTTTTTGTCTCAGTGCCTGTAATGAATAAAGACAGCGCAGAACATACAGGTCAGTTTGTAATCAAATTGAAAGTAATTTCTTAAAATGGTAACTATTCTTGTTTGTGTACTATGATGTATTTTTATTATACTTGCAATGCAACATTTGAGTTTTGATGTGACATCAAATTTGATTAAAGAATTTTGTGATGTGGTGTCACCGCTACATTTTATATTTGCTACTGAATTACATGTTCGAATCAATTAATTTAACCAAAACGTAGCCATATCTAAAATTGTAATACTTGGGTCAGAAAACTCAATAAAGTTCGGGTTTAAATTGATTCAATTT